TTAAAACATTTTGCCCCTAGCCATCCCCAAAATATATATGAATATCTGTATGTGTGTGTGCTTCACACAGTGATACACACATGAAATATATGTTTCATGAAACTATACTCATCCTGGGACTTCCCTGGTGGTCCCGTGGTAAAGAATCCATCTTCTAACACAGGGGATGTGGGTTCAATCCCTGGTCGGGGAACTAAGTGGGCAACTAAGCCCGCACAGTGCAACTACTGAGCCCACACACCTCAACATGCCACAACTAGAGAGAAGCCCACGCACCACAACAAAGAGCACGCACACCACAACGAAGATCCTACGTGCCGCAACTAGGACCCAACACAGCCAAAAATAAAAATAAATAAATAAAATATTTTTTTAAATGTTGCATCCAAATAAAGAAAAAAACTATACTCATCCTTACTACATGTAATATATTATAATACATATTCTATTCTACTTCTGTTTTTTTTAATGCTGGAATTGATTTCATGACCCACAAATAGGTGGCATCTTGCAATTTAAAAAAAAAACAACTCTGCTCTAGACTACAGGTTCATGGATATTTGGAAATACAGGCAGAGAAAGTATGGACATCCTCTGATATTAGAACCACACACAGGCATCCTGGGAGAGGATTAAATAAGATACATATATGAGAAATCACTTGGCAGAGAGTCTGGCATAAACAGGTATTTAGTAAAAATCAGTTTCCACGATACCTCCTACAACATTACTATCCCCCAACGTTTAGAGAAGTGAAGTTACTCCACCACCATCATAAGCATTATAGTCAATAAGCTGCTGGCCAAAGTTAACCACCTTAAAGTTTCAATGCTCAACTAACATCAAGAAATGGAGCTGTGCTACCTACATGACCTTTCCTGATGAAAGCAGCTTATCATTTCCAAGAAAATTTTTTTTTATGAACCATTTTGATAGAAAAATTTCTGAAGTATATCAAACACTGACTTGACTTCTTAAGAGGACTATACAGAATTGTCTTTTCTCAAGGACCCAGGGTCATAATTATGCACACACAATGGTAAATTTTAGAACTGGTAGATGCCTACCTTAGAGGTCACCTAATTCAAGTCTCTCACTTTACAGATGAACAAACTGATGTCCCAAAATGTTATGCAATTTTCCCAAAGCTACCCAGTAGGAAGGTTAAGTGATTCCCATTATGCCATGCTGCCACATCGATTTTGGACTATGCTGAGCATGATCTAGCAAGGTAGTCAGGATTTAGGAGCAATACCCCTTGTAATTCACCCCCATATTTGTTATTTTTGTTATCTCACTTCTTTCCCCATAATCTTTAGCAATAAAACTCTTAAATCAAAATAGGGCCTATGTGTTTGTGCTCTACAGGAAAAATGTTAAGCTAGTCTACTCCACAGACCATTTAGGGGAAGAATTCCAAAATATAATATGTGTGGTGTACCTTAGTAAGGAAAGGGATGCAGAATGAATATCTATGTGGCCTTCAGAAAGCAAGAAGGATGCAATGAAAAGGCCACATTGGCTTAGAACAGCTCTGAGCATGTGACAGTCAGGAACCCCAAACAGCTCCTCAGAATAGGCAACACAGTAAATGTCACAAGGGCAGGGACTAGGTTCTCAGTAAATGTGGGTTGAATATTCTAAAAAATGTGTAGTCTGTCACTACACTAAATGGTGCCAGGTCATTGTGCTGTCTGATGTAGGTTTGCATTTTAGGTGTTTGTCTCTCCCCTTTCCCATAAGGATATGAACTGTCACTTATGTCTAATGACACCTCCCAAACATGGCTTTTGCAGAAGTTGATAACGTTTCCTATATCTTCTAATAAGATGCTTCTAATACACTCTGAGCATGCTAGAATTTTCTAAAATAAGAAAGAATATGCTCTAAATAAGAGAATGAGGGATTCCTCTATGTAAGAAGCATGCCTATATTATCCCATAACTCTTGTAACTTCCATCTTGTCTGCCCTTTTGTTGAGTGGATGGCTCTGCTGCGGGTTACAGATTACACAGGTTGCCAGATAAGTCACCTGCAGTGAGGTATTATGCTACTGGGACTATTTTTAACCTGCAACCCATGATACTTCTCTGTAACCCACAAAATTATCACTCAAATGTCTTTTTAAATGGCAAAATGTCTTTAAAATGACAACCATGCACCCAAACTGAAGGCCATTTTCTAGACACATTACTATATCCATTTTTAAAAATAATTGTCAGGATTTTTTCATTAAAATTTTTTTAAATTTTATATTGAACTCACTATATCTATTTTTGTCCTCTCCCTTGAGACTCCATTTGGTGCTCCTTCCTTATTCCATTTTCTTCTATATTTTCCATGGTTCAAGTACTTTATCTTATTCTTCTGCCTTTGGGTGTTCTAGTGATATTTCCTGTATTTTGTAATCAGGAGGAAATGGGCTTAACTAAGAAAATACATACAAAACTTTATTTTCCCATAATCTCTTCAAAACATGATCTTAAGGAAAACGTTGTGTTATGAAGAATGAAAAGAAATACAAATTAATCAAGGTCAAAGGGGTTTAAAATATTATCCACAGATTATTTTACTTGATAAAGCAATTGTCTCTTGATGACATTTAACTAGAACTAAATCTGCTAAAAGAAAAACTGCATCTCATAGCCTATTTCTTCATGTTTCTGATACATGCATGATTAATTCTGCTTTTGTTATTAAAACTGAATCTTTGAAACACTGATTTTTCTATGATTTACTCAAGCTAGTACATATAGTAAGGCAAACACATTTTAAAGACCACTTTCAGCAAACTATTTCAGAAGAGAAATATTCCAAACGCATTAAAAATCATTCTTATTCAGTAGTGATTGGAATTATTGGATTCATTTATTTGGGAAATGGCTTTTATCCAATTTTTCCACTTTGACTTACCTAAAAACAAGCTTCATATCATAAATTTAAAGAATGTGCTTGAAAAGTAAAAACGTGTTCACTAAGTTATATGAAAAACTTCTAACTCAAATAAGTTCTTCCCATACTTTGAGAAATAACATTACTCTCACGGAAATAAGTCTAAAATGAATCTTTTTCCAAATACACCAGATACCCCTGATGCAATTTTCTGGATCACTCACAGAATCTTCCTACCTCTATCATAACGGACTCTAACAGGATGGATGTAATCCATATTATGAACTGAACTAGAAGGCAAAATATGTCTCATATAAGAATTAACAGCACTTAATGATAAGAATTAGCACTCTTATCAATTAAAATTTGAATCAAGATAAGAAAAAGTATCTTAATGATTCAAAGTAATTTTTAAAACACCCTAGGTGCCAAGGTAAAACAACAACAAAAGAAGGCAGTAACATAGGACCCAAGTATGGTATAACAACTATTCTAAAGTGGATATTGTACTAAGTTTTAGGATAGACTGGAGAGAATAAATAGAGTCTGTTGACTCCTTCCAGCTCTCATCCAACATCTGTTCATAGCAGCTACAGCAAGGTTATCTGTAGCCATGCAGTTTTCAGGTTGAGAATAAACATGTCCTTGCTGTTTTGAAAACAATTACCCAGGTACAACTAGAATAAGATAATTTTTGGTTAGACAACACTGGAAAGGTTATCTAGTTTACCCTCCCTATGTTCATAAACAAGGAAACTGAGGCTCAGAGAGATTAAGTTCCTAGCCCTAGCAACTCACACAGCTAGTTAATGGCCAAGCAAGGTCTAGAACCAAGTTTTCCAAATTATTTCTATTAATATGGGTTAACTCTGAGGGTCAGAACCACTGATTCTCCTTCTGGTATGGAACTGACCTTTGGAAATTTACCGGCTGTGTGATCTTGAGCAAACTGCAACCTTTCTAAGCCCTTTTGCCTCCTCTGTATAGTGTAAAGAATACGTACTCTAACAAGGTTGTTGTGAGGATTATATACAGCTTGTAAAGGGCTTAGCACGTCGATTAGCAAATAATAAGCATTCGAAAATAAATAGTTATTATTTTTACTCCCGACCTGGAAACATGGCTGCTCCTACTGTTTAAGAAGACAATGAACTGAATTCAACACAGTGGACAGGGTCTCAACCACCGGGGTTCCCCAGCCTACCACGTTCCGTAGACAGGAGAAAACCCCACCCAACAAATTATTTCACCCCATCTAAAATCCACCCTTTAAACTGTTAAGAAAAACAAAATACCAACTGCTGCCAAATGTTTTCTGCCACGTGTTGTACGTGTAATTTGTCAACTATAAATTGCAGGGGGAGTTCTGGCACCACCCAAAACATGAAGAATAAATGATGGGAAAACAAGGGGAAGATAAGATCACACACCTGAACTGGACTCACAGACGCTTGTTCTCAGCTCATTTAGCTGTTGGTAGATAGGTGGGTGGTACAAAGCAAGATGATTTCTTTCAGCACCATAAAGCAGGAATAATGGCCACCACAACAAATTACAGCCCCCTAGGCTTCTCAGCAAAACATAAAAGAATCCATTTCATCGCCTTAGTAAATTAAAACGTACACGGGCAACAACTGAGTAACAAAATGTATCCGAGCTGCACTGCACCCTAGGATTATATAAATATATGAAAAATTCCTATAAAATGGCGAGACAAAATGATGGGGAATATCACCTTGAAACTAACAAGGAGGAAATTATGTCATGCCAAAGGTGTCTCCATTGACAAAATCCCCACCCTCCGTTCTCACGACACTGCAAACCCACCTCCCTCTAAGGAAATTACACGAATCACCCGCAGCAACCAACCTCAGCAATCGACATCGAGCAGATCGACCCCTACTCAAATGGCGCTAAGCACCGCGGGTCCAAGCCCCTCCCTGCAGCTGCCAAGTCCCGCGCTGGCTCCAGACTACTTCGCTTCCTTTCCGTCCTCCCTCTCACGCTCGACCCCCAACATTTCTCGCCGACCCTCGCCACTGACAGAGAAGGTAGGAACGGGAAAGACTTCCTACACTTTGTCCAGGGAGTACCAGAGCCACACATACCCGTCCCTATTACGACCACATCAAACTCCGAAGGTAGATTATCCGCCATCTTGACAGGAAACGTGTCATGTGACTATTGCTTGTGGAAATGAGATCAAGTTAAGCATTGCTGGGGGTAGAAGGCGGAAGGGAAAACACTGCATTCTGGGTATTGTAGTTCCTGGGTGGCGGGTCCTGATAGGCGGCTACAGCATTGTATTTGAAATGTTTTATGCGAATGTTAAAAGCTCGATTCATTTTCCAGGCTGAGTGCAGTAACACTTTTAGCCTGGAGTTTTGGGGTAGAAAAGAGTTGTAGATTTTTAGTCTGATGGCTAGGATGAATGTGGGAATACCTGGGAACCCCTTGACAATGATGAAGCAAGAATTGTTAGGAGACAAGGAGGGCGGAGTGAAATTGAAAGGGGATTGCTTTGTGAAGAAAGGAAATTTTCATTCCAGCCTGGAAACTGTTTGTTTCCCCCAGCATGTCTGTATTTTCGTTTTGGCCTGCGAGGCATAATTTTTCACACCAATACCTTCAAACTCTATCCCTTATCTTTTTTGTCTCTGTCTCCCCAATGAAAACCCACGAAAAATCTCGCCCTAGCTTCGCCAGAATGGAACCGTCATTGCATCTGCATTTGTTCTAGTTAGTCCGATCAGCCACCTTGGCCATATACATATGCAAAATTAGTCTTGCTTTACAGGAGAGAAAAAAGTTATGAAAACATAGTAGTTGCTTGATAGGCGTTTATTGATTCTGAATCTGGTGGAGTTCATACAAGATTTTCCCAATAAGGTACCACAGAAATGATCAAGGTAAAGTGGCCTTTATATTCAAGTGATTGTATTTGTTGAAGAGGATTTAGATTACCTGTGCCAAGCAGCTAATGTAGCTCTGATAAGTATTTTCAAGGTCGGCATCCTCCCACCCGTACCGCCAGCCCCGTTATTTAAAATGCTTTGCTGTCTGACAATTCCAAAGCAAAAAAGAGGTAGAGAATGCATGGGAGTGAGGGAGGGTAATTTTTGGATCCCAGAAATTCATTGTGTAGTTATTTTACCAGAGTTTCAAGATAATTCAGAGAGTGCAGTGGTGGACCTTCCCTTACACCACCTGACTGACCTCTGAGCTGTTTGTGGTTCCCCAGTCACACTGTTGTTCCTTCATCATGGAATGATCTTCCCGTTCTCTAGCTAACAATTATCCCCAAGGCTGAGAGTCATTTCCACCACCTCCTTCTTACATTTCCTCCCTATACTGGGTTATATTACCCTACATTGTGCTACCCCTCTGTCATAACCTCCCATATTACACTGAAAATTATTTGCATTTATGTTGGTTCCTATACTGGACACATATTCCCCAAAATACATACCCAGATATACAATACCCTAAATTATAAGCCCCTATATGACAGGGATTGTGCCTTACTTATCTTTTTACCCCCTGCATCTAACATAAGCCTGGTGTATAGTAGGAATTCAGTAAGTGTTTGCTGAACTAAGCTTGGCTCTGATTCCTCTAATAGATGGTAAGTACTATAGATTCAGAAATTTCCTAACAAATATAATCACACTGTGAAGATACAACTCATTAACTCATTTAATTTTCCTTAAATACTCATTGAGTACCTACTATGTGCAAGGCACTGATTTAGATGCTGGGATTACAGCAATGAAAAAACAGACAAAACCCCCTGTCTTAATGAAGTTTACATCTAGTGAAGTAAAACAAAATAAACAAGTAATTACGCTGTAGTGCTAATTTTCCACTATGTTTTTCCCCAAATTTAAAATTCTTTTCTTCCCCCTGAGGATAGAGAGCACAACCCTCAAAAAGATAAAAGTGACAGCCTATACTTAGCTGCCCTTTCTTTAAAGTTATCACATCCTCTCTGGGCATAGAAAAGATTATTATATTTGAAAAATACAAAGCATCTGCATAGAGAAAATGCTTAAAATACCTTTTCCTCCCAATGTATTTTTGTTAATTTTTTTCAAGGCAAAAATAAATGTGGGAGTTGACAACATCAATAAAATAGCATAAAGCAAAGCAGCTTAATTGCTGTCTATTTTATTATTCTAAGGACATCTATTTTTGAGAACTGAAATATTTTATTTGGATAAATCACAATACAATGAGATGATGGATACCTACAAATTGACTACCCTGTTAAATCACTGTGACATTGATTTTTTACTTAATGTTTTCCTGAATTGAAAAATCACAATTCCGTGAACATTTACCTTGTATTCAGAAGCTTATTCAAGTGTGGGATCTGATGTATCATATTTTTACAAACCAGTAATTTAATGGTCTCCTCTATGCCTTTCCTTTGAGCTCCAAATCCATATATCCAACCCCTTACTCAATATCTTTTCTGAACATGTCCAATACTGAATTCCTGAATACTTCATCCCCACTCCCAAACCTCTTCGTCTAGTGTTTCCCAGCTTAGAAATGGTACCACCTTCCAATCAGTTACTCAAGTCAAAAACTTAAGGATCATCCCTGATATATTACTCTCTTTCACCCTTAAACCAATTCATCAGCAACTCTTGCCAGATTTATCTCAAAGATATATTGTAAATATATCCACCTCTAAATCTGTTCTGCCCCCATAATCTCTTCCTAAACTGCAATAGATCCCAGCTGGACACCTCATTCATGCTTGCTTCTCCCCAGTCCACTCCCCACACTGCCGGTAAACTTTTAAAAATTCAAATCTGATCATGTTCTCCTTTACCTAAAAGGTTCATGATTGCCTATTGCTCTTAAAATCTACTCCAAGATTTTCAACGTGTTGTAAAAGGCCCTGCTGAACTCAACAGTCTCATCTCGTACCTCTCACCTTTCTCTAAGCTCCAGCCATATTGGCTCTCCCTCCTTTCCTCTGATATCCCATACTTCTTCCTACTTCAGGGCCTTCCCACATGCTCTTCCATGTTCCTGAGGTGAACTTTGATCCTTCTTCCCCCTTTCTTCTAGCTTAATCCTCATTTTGCAGTTCATTCGAAACAACACATAATCTGGCAGGTGCCTCGGTCTATCTTAGGATCTCACCTTATACTCCTCCTCTGTTGAACTTTTCATGATGGGAAATATCAAGTTCCTTATGCAATTACGTGTTTCATATCTGCCATCCTCTTAGAAGGTAAGTTCCACAAAGTCAAAGACTGTTCCCATATTGTTCATTATTATATTCCCAGTACATCATTCAGTGCATGGCAAAAAATAGACACTCAAAAATATTCCACTTATGAGTATATATCCAAGGCAAATAAAAACACTATCTTGAAGAGATATCCATATTCATTGCAGCATTATTCACAGTAGCCGAGATATGGAAACAACTTAAGTGTTCATCAATGGATGAATGAAGAAAATGTGGCATATATATGTATACTAGATATAAATATTATTTAGCCTTAAAACAGAAGGAAATCACATGGATGAACCTGGAGAACATTATGCTAAGTGAAATAAGCCAGACACAGAAGACAAATGTCACATGATCTCACTTATAAGTGGAATTGTAAAAAAAAATTTTAAGTCAAACTCATAGTAGCAAAGAGTAGAATGGTGGTTACCAGAGGCTGGGGGTAGGAAAAAAGGGGAGCTATTGATCAAAGGGTACAAAATTTTAGTTATAAGATGAATAAGTTCTGGAAACCTAATGTACAGCATGATGGCTATAGTCAATAATAATGTATTGTATACATGAATTTAGCTATGACTGTAGATCTCAAGTGTTCTCACCACACACAGACGCACAAAAGGTAACTATGGGAGGTAATGAATATGTTAATTCGTTTTATTATGGTAAGCATTTCACACTGTATACATATATCAAAACATCACGTTCTATACTTGTATACCTTAAATATATGGATTTTTTATTTGTCAAAAACAAATAAATTTTAATCTGCTTAGTGAATGGATGAATAATATGGTGTAGGAATTCTTCAGGAAACAACACAAGAGTACACTTTTAAATGGGAATAAAATGAGTTGCTTGCCCAGCAAAATGTTTCATCAGCAGGTTTTGTGTTTATAATTGAACAGGTAATACGCACGTAGTTAATAAAAAACTAAATCAGCACAGAATGTCATACAAAGACATATTAGTAAGTCTCCATACCCTCATGGCCCCCCTGTTGTGTTCCCCAGAAATAAACACTGTTATCAGTTTCTAGTGAATCCTGCTAAAGATTGTGTTTGTGTGTGTGTGTATGTGTGTATATGAGAGGAGCAGTAATCCCTTTATTTCTTTTTTGACACAGACAGTAACATGCTGTAAACATTATTCCTTACTTTACACCTTTATTTTTTCATTTAATACATATTTGGGAGATCCTGTATTCTCAGTACATGTAGGGGTGCCTCATTTTTAATGGCTTCCTGTAATTCCATTATATGGATACACCATGATTTATTTAATATTCCTTTATTGATGGATATTTAGTTTTTTCTAGTCATTTGCTACTATAAGTGGTGCTACAATGAACAGCCTTTTCTTAGAGAGGCAATATAGGATAATTGTTCTGAGTTCAGGTTTGAGTCTCTATTCCATCCAACTGAACAGTCTCAGGTAAATTATTTACTCTCTCTGAATCTCAGTTTCCTCATCTGTAAAATGGTGACAATAATATTACTAACCCTCCAAGGTGGTTATGAGGGATAAATAAATAAAGTGCTTAAAACTACATTTGACTGGTAGTAAGCACTCAATAAATATTGTTCTTAGTAGTAGTAACCTCAGCAGTAGTAGTAGTCATTGTGAGCATGAGGGAGATAACAACTTTCACCAATCTGATTGGCAAAAATGAAAATATTTGATAATATGGTATTGGTAAATGCATGGGGAAGTGGGCACACTGATACATTGCTAATAGAAGTCGAAATTGATATAACTTTTTGGATGGTGATTTGGCAATATCTGTCAAAATGTTAAATGTATATACTGGTGATTTAGCATTTTCTCATTTGGACTTTATCCTACTTGTGAATTTTTAAATTCTTATTTGTGATACTATAACACAATATTGATCACTTAAATATTTTTCTGATCCTCGAGTTTCAAATT